CCTGCAGATTGAGAGCGAAGTGCTCTGTTAGGAACATAAGGAACAATCAGATCTCTGATTCTAGAATAGAATAGAAACAAAAGGATTACAAGCTGATATTTGCTAACATTTAGTAGTTATGTAGTTTGGCTTGCAACCAGAGTAGCTAGCCAAACTATAGCTACATGTTATCCTTAATATATATATATCAATCTACTATGACTGTAACTTTTTTCTTTTGTTAATAACTTGTTCTGTTAATGTTGCTGTTGTTATTAAATGTTTTAAAAGCAAGGAAAAGCACCATGTTTTCAGCCAGCTGTGCAGCAGTCTGAAATCTGATTTTAATATATTCTAGTCACAGATAAGTGTGGTCAAATAAATAATTTACTCCCATTTTAATCATTTCAAGTTATCTCCTACTTTCCATTCTATATCTTTTTTGTTGTGTCCTTCCCTTCCTCCCTTTCTTGTATCCTTTCTGTATTCCATTTTACTCCCTTTTCACTCTTTTCCTCTATATATTTATATGGTCATACTCTATGCAAGTTTTCTTATTTTGTGGTTCTCTGACTTTTCTTTCATTCCTTGCCTTTTCTTTCACAGTGTAGTACCATTATGACCCATGCCCTCTAGCTTGCAGAGCAACTTTGAAAAAAGGCAAATTTTAATGTACCTACTGTATTATTTTCACATAGGGGTGACTCATTTGATGTGTTTGATTTGCAAGCAAAATCTTTAATTTCTTCACCTTTTCAAGCCAAAACCTCCACGGAGGCCTTCGAGGGTGAGCAAGACCAGCTTCGCTCGTAATAGCATGCTTCCTCGTGGGTGGCGGATGTTACAATTGCTGACCTGAGAAATCGATTGAGGTTTATCAGAGGTCATTTTTTTCCACTTGTAGAAAATGCCTCCAGAAAACTAACAGTTTGATGTCATCTGTTGGGTCAAACTGTTCATCTTACCATAACTACTTCATTTTTAATTCAATGAGCGGTGTAGGAGTCAACGCGCTTGGTGCAGCCGAGATGATTCCTTTTTGTTTCAGCACAGAAAAAAGAAAATGATTTCATTTAGCTAGTCTGATATTTTGGTGTTGGAAAGTAAAAGCGGTGATGAGGAATGTGCATGATAATGAAATGTAAATGTGCCTCCTCCTTCTCCTCCTCTACCCTTTTCTAACCGCCTCAGACGTTGCGAAAGAAAGGCTTTAATGGCTGCAACAGCCCCGAGCCCGACGGCGATGACTCCATCGACCAAAGTCCGCTAAATGACCGCAAGACCGAGGACCTGGACAGCCTCTTCAAACGCTATGGCGTGAGTACCATCATACCTTTGTCACCTTTTCTAACCTACTCTTTCTGTTCTTCTTCTCCTTCTCTATCTGCCGTCTCTGTCTATTTCTCTCTGTCATTGTGGCCTCTGCTTCTGTTGTACGGGGGAACGAAGGCTCTGAACAAGAAAGAGCACCGGGACTCTGAGAGCCCAGACCCCGAGGAGCCCTTCTCCCTCACCCCCCGCACTGAGGAGAAATACAAAAAAATTGACGAGGAGTTTGATAAAATGATGCAGAACTATAGGCTGTCAGTGAGTACCTCCCACCATTCTGTGCAACCCAGCCCCCCTGACCCCACCCCACCCTCCATGTTGCTACTGCTACTGCTGACCGGAAATGAATAGACTCTGGATGCTAAAGGCGGTCTGAATACTCACAGAGCACTTGCCTTCCCCACTCCCCTCACCTCTTCCACCTTCCTCACCGCTTACCAACAGTCACTTTTCGTCACTCCTAAAATCACCACCCTTAAACCCTCCTCCTCCATCGTGTGCGGTTGATTTAAAAAAACTACACACTGGTTTTTAGCTGTAAAGTGTTCATTTGAATGATTAAACTTTTTTTCAATATGCCCCTATTACAAATAGAGAAGAAAAGAAACAAATATTTTACAACGAGACAATTTCTCTTAAAAGTAAAAGATGCTTTGTATTCAAAATGCTGCAAAATAATCTTTTACAAACCAGTTTTTCCACTGGTATAAATCCAACTTATTTTCAGTGCCTTAAATGTGACTGCAGGGTAGAAAAAAAAGTCCTAAATCAAGTAAGCACAACACCAAATGCCATTTGCTTTAATGGGATTATTCATCGCTCACCATAGTAAAAAGCGTCCTTGGACTTATGATTGCTGTAAAACTGTTTAATGCTTCTGCAAGTTCACTAAAGTATGAGAAACTGCAATAGAGGGCGAGCCATGTTAACTAGGTCCCTAGTTTTCATAAAAGCTGGCATAGCAGCTGGAAATTGCACTGGGAAATCATATTTTATAGGAATAATCTACATGTTGAGAGCATGCCTTTAAGCGGTTGGATTTCTCGCCTGTAATGCTAGTTGGGTAATACCCTGCATTATTAAAGAAAGAAAAGTGTGACTTCAGACACAAAGTGTGCTCTGCAGTTTAAAAATGGTGCACTTATTATCTGCCTGGTGTTTGCAGAATTGGTGAGGTCAGTTTAGTCTGTGTGTAATCCTTCTCCTCTGCCTTGATGTGCTCCTCACATTATCCAGGTTCTGCCTTCTGACTGGCACGCTGCCAAACCTCTTTTAGTGCTCCGTTCCTCTGCCAACTTCACTGTGATTCATTTTTTTTCCCCTTCTGTGCTCAATAATGCAATTAATGTCACTTTAATGAGGAGCATTCAATTTACAGCCCCTCTTGCTGTCTGCCTGCCTGTCTGATTGGGCACCTGGGAGGGGACTAGTCACGTTTAGGTGTTGCAGAAGGGTTTGGCCAGTTGGTTCGGGTTGGAAAAGTCTTCCTTTATTCCCTCTGCAACAGTGTTAATTATACTGTGAAATTAGTTTAAAAAAGTGTCAAACCTTTTTCTAACAGCCGTGTTGCTGTAATCTTTTTAACCTCTAGTATTAAAAATAGTGATACAGTATTAATTTTTGGGAATTTTTCAAATTCAGCCTCTCAACAACAATTAACTTGAGTGTTTTTATTAAAGGCCAACATGAAAGAAGTGGAGGAAATTTATGTTTTCACGTTTTAAAAATAAAACCAAAAAGGTGTGGGTTTAACTGCTAAACTGCTTTAGCGTATAAAGCTTGACGGTATAGGTACCAGTTCAGCGCGGGTGGTCAGCCTTCTTATGTAATCGTCATATGGCGATGCCACTCGGACAAACTGTATTGCACCCGTTTCTTAAGAATCAGAACTCTCCTGGAGTCTCATTATATTATTAGCCGTATTTGCTATTATTTTACATTTTATCGGCGTACTAAAGTAGCCGAAAGTAGAAAACACTCTCAGTCTTTAAGGAAAGCACTGCCTTCTAAGACAGACTGAGCTCTGCCATTTAACAAGGCAACAAAATGACTTTCGTAAAGATTTTTGTAGAGAAAGAAAACAAGTTATTGAACTTGTAGGAAATGAACAGTTGCTGTTGACACAAAGTTAAAAGTAGTGTAACTTAATATGGCTAACTGAACAAGCTAAAAGAGGCTAACCTGTTAGCTACTGAGCACATCTAGCCACAGCGCTAGCCAGCTCTGCCCCTTTATATCACTTGAAATTACTTCGTTCACCATAAACAGATTTCTTCAGCTTTGTTATCCTTAAGATAAAGCTTCATCGGGAATTAGACAAGCTAACATTATTATTATCGATGCATGGGCAACAGCAATGTTTTATTTTATGTGGCAATGTAGAGTAACGTCACTGGCATACGCAGAACCCGGGCAGATCTGGTTAAGATCCCCTGCTGATGACGTCATCATATAGAATACGGCAACGCCAATCGGACAAACTGTATCGCACTCTTTTCATAAGAATCAAATCCCTTCTGGAGTCTAACCATATTATTACCCATATTTTCTAATATTCTATGTTACCTTGGCGATCTAAAGTAGCTAAAAGTAGAAAACTATCTGGCCCACCAATCTTATATTATGCTGCATGCCTGTAAAGACAAAACTCTCAAATTGTTTTTGTAGCGTCTGAGGCAATTTCCACCTCTGTCTAAATGGAAAAAAGAAAAAAAATCATCCATTTTATGTCACGTTTAACCCCAGTTGGGTTCGCAAGAGATACTGGTGCCTATCTTCAACTGTCTATGGGCGAGAGGCGGGGTACACCCTGGACCGGTCACCATTCCATCGCAGGGCAACACAGAGACAAACAACCATTCACACACACAAACACCTAAGGACAATTTTGTAGCAAATTAACCTATAAGTCCTGTTATTTGGACTGTGGGAGGAAGCCGGAGTACCCGGAGAGAACCCTCACATGCACAGAGAGAACCTGGAGACCCCGCTGCTCCACTGAGCAGCCTAAAAAACCCCAACAACTTTTAGGGCAAATTAAGAAAAGCATTTAGACACAGCGCACCATCGGTTGTGCTCATCCCTGATTAAAGCACCTCTCAGTTTAATCAGTTCAATGAATTTCTGCCCTCCTGAGTTTGACTCAGCCTCTCTGCTGCGTGAGCCGAAACGGCTCTTAAGGGCTTTTCTCCGAAGAGAGAGAGCTGTGGCAGGAGAAGAATAGCATTCAATCTACCACCCTTAGAGATGTGCCGCTTATGGCCTGCATTGATTGGCTACTAGTCAAGCTCCACTGGAGGAGCGCTGCTGCCCACTGCTGCTGTTTCAGTCAGCCGCTTTGTGTACCTGATTCACCCGGCTCACCTTTCAGTGGAAGGAAGCACAGAGAAGTATACAGCGTCTCCAGCCGTCCCTCCCCTCTTCAACATAATCCCCTGTATGACGGCTAGGGGCCGGGATATACATGCTTAATCCCACTTGTACTAAAATGCCTCCTAAGGCATGGAGAGAGTGCTGAAGCAGAACAGTCAGGACACTTGGCTTGAGCTTACATATCTGTTCCTGGTAGTTGGCACACTGGTAGGCGAAACAAAAAAGAAACCTTTTTTTTTGTGACCGGCGGCTCTCTGATTTGATCCTTTTTCTGGTTCTGTGATTCAGGGTTTCTAAATTGAATAAGAAATAGATTTCTTCCTTTTTGCATCCGCCTCCATGGTGCCCTTGAGCAAGTAGCTGAATATCTTGTGTCAGTACAGGCTCTGTATAGATCCAACATAAAACGCAATAAACTGACGCTGCTACATATTGAATCACATGAAATTTCATTTTCAGATGTTAAGCATAAGATAATCATATGCATAGAACAGCTGTTGATATAGTGAATCAAACAGGATTGATTTTAATTACCCTTCAGATGCTGAAGGATCTGACATTTACATATTCAAAAGAATGGGAACCTATAATATATATTTTTCTGTCACTACATGTTAAAATATCTTATAGTTTCTTGTTAGATATCTAAATTAAACCCGCTGGGTTTATTAATATTGGCTGAATCTTTATTCAAACAGTAAAAGTTAAATATTAGTAGATTATAAAACACCTCTCTGTCAGACAATTTTTTAACAAATTAAAAAGAATATATATAAATGAAATACAGACAGGTAGATAACTTTCAGAAAAGAGAAGCAGACTATGAGTGTATTTCATCCTGATTTAACCTTTCATCAAGTAAACACGCCTGTTGAAGGAGCTTCTTTGAATTAAAAGAGCTTTGATTTTTCTCTCTTTTTGTTTATTTCTCACATAAGAGGCCTTGAGCTTTCTCACACGAGCCTCCAGAAAATCTCCTGGTCAATTATTTACCCAGCAGGTTTGCTTTTTCTGCCCTGGTTCCCATCCTTCGCCTTATATCCGTAAGAGGATGGATATCATCCCCTTAACCCTCCTATCTCCATTCAGTAGTATTGATTAGAAAAGTCTTGAAGTGGAGAATGGTGAACTAATTGGTTTGGTTTAATTGGTTTTAGGGAAACATGGTGCACATTGTAGACAGAAGAAAAGTTTAAAAATAAACATTCAAAAGACTAATGAAGAGATGTTGACGTAGAGTCATGCTGTCAGAAAGAGCATGCAGTGATGAAGGAAGGAAACGTCACTCGATGGCGATTGTTAGGATTTTATGAAACTTTCCGGTACATTTTAGGCTTTCTTTTCTAAATTCAAAACATGCACATAAAGGTGAGCGGCCTGTAAACATAAACCAAAAAACATGCATCAGTTTTTTTTACTTTTTTTCTTACAAAAAAAGTCAAATTCATTTGCAAATCCAAATTAATTCTGAGGTACTAATGGGTATAAAAATATATCCGATCAAAAAGAAGAAAATGTTTTCTATTGTAATGTCTGCTAGTGATGTTAGCACAGAAGGCTATATAGAGAAAAGAAAAACCCTCCCCAGTGATTTCTGCATCTGTGTTTACTCATCTCCACCTTCTTTACATTGACCCCCTCCCTCCCACCATCCATCCACCTACACCATTGATCCATCCTTTCTCCGTCACCTTCCGCTTTGCGCCCGTGTGCAGTGCTGTTAGCTGCTAGCGGCTTTCTTCCCCATCCCAGGTCACCACAGACGGTTCCGTTTGCACATCCCCTTTGCAGATTTCCACTTTGCTAATCTAACCAGTAAATTCAAAGGTATCAGTGGTTTGAATATAATAAAATTCAATAATATAATAAATAATATTGTAATATAATTCAATATTTTCTACCACGTTTTTTTATTTCTGATCTAGAATTTTTCCAACATTCATTATTTCATTCATCTGAAATAATGGCTTCATGGAATGAGTTTTTATCAGAAATAGATAAGGCTTTGCTGGAATCAAAAAGTCTCTGATCCCTCTCTTTCTGTTATGAAATGAAACTTTTTTTTTTTAAACACTCAGACAGAGGTGGGGATCAAGGGCAGCGAGGTGTCCCTGTCCTTCTTTCCATTAAACTGGGTCTCTGCACATTGAGTACAGTACAGAGCAGCAGTGGCCCATATTCCATATATAGAAGTCCTTATTTCAGATTGAGATGAAACCGGGTGAAATGGGTTGCATGGCTGGACAACCTGAGGTCCTTGACCTTATTATTTCTTTTTCTCTCTTTTAACACCCACTGTAGTCCGGTCATCCTTTTTCATCAGTTCAGTTATCATTCTAGACACTTTGATAAAAGAAAGGGCTTCAGTAAATGAACCCTATCTCTGTGATTCATCCCTGTTTTGGGTAAGATTCACTAAATTTGAGGCAGATTTCAATACGTGAGCTCATGGATCATCTCTCGCCTTCCAAGGGAAGGATACGTCGGGGGGGTATGCATGCAATGAGATGCCTACCAATAACTCAAAAGCAACAACTTGCTGCCGCAAAAAGAGTTTAAACTTGGCATTAGAGGAGAAAGGCCACAACGCTTCTTCTGCCTTTCCACTAATTCACTTTGCATGTTTCAGCTCAATGAGTGTGTGTGGGTGTGTGTTAGTGGGGATGTGTGTCGGGCGTTTGAAGAGTTAATTTCCAAAACCACTTACTTAAAGAGACAGCTCTAAGAGGTTTTGCCTGTGTGGTTCCTGGCAGAACACAGACCTGCATGGAATATAAAGCTTTTAGACTGATTTCCTGCAGTCATTTGAAACGCTTTGATCAAAAAGAAAAGACAAAAAAATATTAGGTAACATTGCTGATTCCAAATTGTCCGCCTTTCTAGGCTTTGGTTATGTGTATTTTTATATAAATACTTTATAGCAGACGTGTCAAAATGAAAGGATCGAAATCGAACCCTCATGGCAAATTATCCAGCCCCTGAGGGCCAAAAAAGTTATAGTGTCATAAAACAGACTAGAGATCGACTGATGCAATGATTTTTTTTATTTTTATATATATATATGTCTGATATTAGCTTTTTGTTTTTCTTGCCTCGGTATCCAATACATGCATTTGTAGACCGCTTCGTTAGGGCATTCAGCAGCTGTGCCTTAAAGGAATAGTACACCCAAAACATGATTAGCCTTCATTTTCTACTCACCCCCATGCTGAACA